TATGAGGAACGACTTAGGGAGCTGGGGATGTTTAGCCTGGAGAAGAGTCGGTTAAGAGGGGATATGATAGCCCTGTTTAAAGGCCAATGCGATACTGGGCCGCTTCCATAGAAGTATAGTGTCTAGAATCAAGGGAAGTAATAGTGCCACTGTATTCTGCTTTGTTTGTTGGCAAGATGTGCCACTTTAAAAAAAAGAAAAAAAGGAAAATTGTTGTGTGTATACAAACGCACACAGACACACAGCCCAGATAAAGAAGGGCTGATGGTTGGCACATGTCCCATAAAACTTATCCTCTCCGGATAGAGCAGAAGTGTCTTTTTGTCAGCATGAGGGTCACAAGGCTTATAACCATGCCATCACATGCCTGAGGCCTGGGTATCGGGTTCAAATCATAGCCCATGGGGGAGGAAAGACTCCACAAAGCCTCACAGAATGGTGATTCATCTGTTGTTTTCCACATTATTGTATGCGCCGCACAGCAGGACCGTTGTGAGTGTTCCGAAACAGTGACATGTTTGGGGATGTTCTGCAGGCAGTGAAATTCGTCCAAGGAGGAAAGTGGTTTAGCTCCATCAAGGGCAGAGGTAACATGGCAATCTTCATTTTTTTTCCAGATTTCCAAATAAACTATGATCAGTCCTTGATTTAAAAATAATAACCATAAATGAGGTGCTGGCATTCTTATTCTGGAAGAAAACCTTGCTTTTCAAAAAGTCTCCCCAGGGAAATCCTACCAACAATGGTGGGGATAGTGACACAAATACAGAGGTAGTGGCTCTGTACATTCGGCCTTCCTTATCCATGTATCATAGAATTATAGAGTTGGAAGAAACCACAGAGGTCATCCAATCCAACCCCCTGCCATGCAGGAATACACAATCAAAGCACCCCCGACAGATAGCCATCCAGCCTCTGTTAAAAACAAGGGGACTCCACCACTCTCCAAGAGAGTGTCTTTCTCTGTCAAACAGCTCTCACTGTCAGAAAGTTCTTCCTAATGTTTAAGTGGAATATCTTTTCCTGTAGTTTGCATCTGTCGCTGTGTCCTGTTCTCTGGAGCAGCAGAAAACAAGCTTGCTCTATCCTCAGTGTGACATCCCTTCAAATACTTAAACAGGGCTATCATATCACCTCTTAACCTTCTCTTCTCCAGGCTCAACAAACCCAGATCTCTAAGCATCTCCTCATAGGGCATGGTTTCCAGACCCTTCACCATTTTGGTTGCCTTCCTGTGGACACTCTCCAGCTTCTCAGCGTACTTTTTGAATTTTGGTGCCCAGAACTGGACACAGGATTATTCCAGGTGAGGCCTGACCAAAGCAGAATAGAGTGGCACTATTACTTCTCTTGATCTCTAGGCACTATACTTCTACTGATGCAGCCTAAAATTGCCTTGGCCTTTTTAGCTGCGGCATCACACTGTTGACTCATGTTCAACTTGTGGTCTACTAGGACTCCTAGATCCCTTTCACACATAGTCTTCTTAAGCCAGGTGTCCCTCATCCTTTATCTATGCATTTATTTATTTATTTATTTTTCTGCCTAAGTGCAGTACCTTACGTTTCTCTGTGTTGAAAATCATTTTGTTAGTTTTGGCCCAGCTTTCTAATCTATTCAGGTCCTTTTGAATTTTGATCGTCTCCTCTGGGGTTTTAGCTAATCTTCCTCATTTGATGTTATCCACAGTTTCACACACACAAACACACAATAGAAAAGCTTGGTTTTGCCATTTTATGTAAGGGCCACCATTTTACGATGCCATTGTATTTAATGGGACTGAAGCATCAATGAATTTTGGTATCCATGGGGGGGGGGTGCTGGAACCAAACCCCAATCAATACCAAGGGCACACTGTACATGCTCAGTCACTATGGTGCAACGCACTTTGTGCCTGTTTCTTCTAAAAGAGGAGTATGGCTGAAGGTTAGGAAGCCGTACCCCAAGAACATCTGGGCAACGGAGCTGGGAAAAGGCAAGTACAGCTGTGAGACCTACCACGTCTTTCCTTCTCAACACAAATACCACACACAGCTTCTCCTCTCTTGAACGTTCGCTGTCGTTTCCATCTCAAAATGACTTGGGCGTGATTGGCGTTTGCAAACTCTTTCGAGTTCAGCAAACCATGCCAAAGACCAGAGGCAGTTCTGGGCTGTTTCAGAACTGGGATGGGCAATGGAGGATGGTTGTCCAGTTCTGGGTCCGGTGCTGTATAGTGCAAATTGAGTCCACTTTAACTGCCCTGGTTCAGTGCTAGGGAATCATGGGAACTGTAGTTTATTGTGGCACCAGAGCTCTCTGACAGAGAAGGCTCAATGTCTCAGAAAAAAATACAGTTCCCATGATTCCCTAGCACTGAGCCAGGGCAGTTAAAGTGGACTCAATTTGCACTATTTCTAGCAGTCTGCAAAGGCCCTTAGTTGGTCTTTTCTCAAGACAGATCTCTTCCGGCAGGCCTTCCCGGACTAAATATCCTGGCCTTGGCCCTCCTCCTCTTCAGCAGATCCTCCATAACCCTTCCCTTGTAGGAAGCTGCAGGGGTTTTATTGTTGTTTTAGTATAGTAAATTTTAATCTTGTTGGAAAATTGGTTTTAATTAAATCTGGTTTAATAGTTTTTTAAGGGGGGGTGGGAAATATGTTGGTTTTAGGCTGTATTATTTTAATGTTGTGAACCGCCCAGATTGGGTCACCAATGGGCGGTATATAAATAAAATTTATTATTATTATTATTATTATTATTATTATTATTATTATTATTATTATTAACATGAAACAAAGGGATGTGGTGGCTCAAGTGGTGAAGATGCTGGCTCTGTTGCTTGCAAGATGGGCAGGTTGGCAGTTCAAGACCCATGTGCTCCATGATGGGGTGAGCTCCCATCTCTAGTCCCAGTTTCTGCCAACCTAGTAGTTCAAAAGCATGCAAATGCAAGTAGATCAATAGGTACCACTTTGGTGGGAAGGTAATAACATTTGGTGCAGTCATGTTGGCCACAGGATCACAGAGTAGTCTCTGACAACGCT